CTTGGGGGTCCTTATAGCACCCAGGCCTTCCTATAACACCCTGGGGGTCCTATAGCACCCAGGAGGTCCCTGTATTGTCTAGGGGTCCCTATAGCACCAAGGATACTGTACATTGCCTGGGCATCCCTATAGCACCCAGGGTGTTCCTATAGAGCTTGGGGGTCCCTACAGCACCCAGAGGATCCCTATAGCAATTAGTGGTCCCTATAGCACCCAGGTCGTCCTTATAGTGCCCAGGGGTCCCCATAGCACCCAGGCAGGGCTGTACAGTGTCTGGGGGTCCCCATAGCACCCAGGCCTCCCAATAACACCTTAGGGGTCCCTATAGGACCCAGAAGGCTATATGCTGGTTGCTTTCTGGCTCCTGTAGCACCTAAGGGTCCCTATAGCATGCAGGGGTCCCTATAATGCCTAGCAATCCCTATAGCACCCAGCAACCTGTACGGTGCCTGGGGGCTCCCTGGAGCGGCCGGGGATCTGTATGGTGCTTTGGGGGGGTCCCTATAGCACCCTGGGGGTCTTTACAACACCCCTTACAGCACCCTGGGGGTCCCTATAGCACCCTGAGGGTCTTTACAACACCCCTTACAGCACCCTGGGGGGTCCCTCTAGCACCCAGGGTGCTGTACATTGCTTGGTGAGGGGTGCCTATAGCACCCAGCATACCTATGGATCCCAGGGGGTCCCTATAGCACCCGGGGGTCCCCGTGGTTCTTGGAGGGGTCTCTACAGCAGCCCCTCTCCCCAAGACCACCAGACCATGGAGCTGGGTTCCTCTACTGGTCCTCAACGCCAAGTGGGCAGGGTGCCCCCACCCCGGTTCTTCTCCATTGGGGTGTCTCCTCGGGGGTAGGGTGGGTGGAGCCACCCAGACCCCGCCTCGCCAGGGTGGGGGGCAGCACCCCACCCAGACCTACCTGGCAGGAGTCGGTGCCCCCCGAGCTGACGCCGGCGCAGAGCATGTTCTTGGTGATGCCCTTGGGGTAGAGCTTGCCGCACTCCTCGTTGGGCATGGTGTAGACCACGCCGCACTGGAGAACATCGGGGAAGTACCCTGGGGACAATGGGACACGGTCGGGGGTCTTGGCGCACACCTCAGCCCGGTGGTAGGGTCCCAAGGGAGCACGGAAACAGTGGGACCCTCTCCCTCCTAGGGTGACGTGGGCGCTGACACCCCACCATGGAAGATGCCTTCAAGATGAGGGGCGAATGGCCACCTTGGAGGTGATTCAGAGTCCCCTGTGGTCACGGCATGGAGCTGGTGGAGAAGAGAGACCTCCACGGCCACCCCATGGACCACTGATGGACCCAGACCTTCCCCCAGGGGAACTGTCCCCAAGACGCTATGTCCCCAAGACACTGAGATATCCCCAAGATGCTGAGATGCCCCCAAGACGCTGAGATGTCCCCAGAACCCTTGAGGACCCCTCCCCACGTGGTGCGAGGAGGTGTTTCCACCTACCTTCAGGGCTGCTGGTGCTGCCCCAGCCCGAGACGACGCACTCGGTGTTGGGTGGGGGACAACGCCTGGGGAGGGCCACGGGGTGGATGTGTTCGGTGAAGCGGACCGGCTTCTGGAGCTTCAGCAGCATGATGTCACTGTCATGGCTGGTGGGGTTGTAGTTGGGGTGGATGAAGGCCTTGGCTGAGTTGATGCACTGCTCCGTACCTTCCTTGGTCTTCAAGCTGTGGTCACCCATGCGGATGGGGATGGGGCTGGGCAACGAGGGGTGGAGAAAAGACCACGGTGAGGTTCCCTGGTGGACGTGGCACATGCCAGGGAAGGTCCACGTGGTGGAGGTTGGGAGGAGCTCCCGGGAAGTAGGGCAAAAGGCTTCCCCTCCTATCATTAATATCTTTAACCAGATGGGGAAACTGAGGCTGGGAACCCAAAGTTGCCCAGCAGGTCAGCCGGAGAGTCGGCCAAGGCAAAGCGAGTCCTCCCTGGTCCAACCCAAGCTGAAGAAGAACCGGATCCAACCTGGGGACCCGGACATCCTGGTCGCTCTCCACATCCCTGCCGCACCCAACTGAACCCTAAAATTTAGATTTTTCTTCCCCATTTTTCTGGCAGACCCTCCCCGTGCCTCGGTGCTCGGCCAGGAGAAGCTCGGCCCACCAAAGCCATGGAGGACCGTCCACTTTGCTACCTCATGGAGATGGCTTGAGCCCCCGTGGCGTGGGGCCGGTGGCCTCCGTGGTCCTCCCATGGGCTCAGCCCATGGGTGCCCCTACCCAGGCCAGTCACACCAGTACCACAGGCTCCTCAAACTGGTTTTCCCCCTCCACCCAAGCTGTTGTGGTCCAGGCCAGGTCCCAGTCCACAGAGCTGGTGGGAACGGGGAGATGAGGAGACCTCTCTTCAGAGCCGATCATCCGTCACCGAATTTGGGGGCAGTTCAGGGCCTTCTTGCCCACGTGGCCACTCCCCGCTTGCCTCAGGTGGCCAAGGGAGGAGGCATCCATGGGAGAGTGAGGACCATGGGTCCTGACGGGGTGGCCATGGCCCAGCCTCTCTTGGAGAAAGGAGCATATGGTGCTTGGGGCGCCGTCTGCGCGACCCTGCAGAACCTCAGGAGATGGGAGACGCTGGGTTTGAGAACCTCTTGGCCCATGGGACGGTCATGTTGGGAGCCCAACTCGATGGTTGTGGTGGCCAACCCCATGGGACGGTCATGTTGGGAGCCCAGCTGGACGGTTGCACCGGCCAACCCAGTTAGATGGTCACTCTGGTACCCTGGCTGGATGGTTGTGGTGGCCAACCCAGTTAGATGGTCATGTTGGGAGCCCAACTGGATGGTTGTGGTGGCCAACCCAGTTAGATGGTCATGTTGGGAGCCCAACTGGATGGTTGTGGTGGCCAACCCGGTTAGATGGTCATGTTGGGAGCCCAACTGGATGGTTGTGGTGGCCAACCCGGTTAGATGGTCATGTTGGGAGCCCAACTGGATGGCTGTGGTGGCCAACCCAGTTACATGGTCATTCTGGGAGCCCAGCTGGATGGTTGTGGTGGCCAACCCAGTTAGATGGTCATTCTGGGAGCCCAGCTGGATGGTTGTGGTGGCCAACCCAATGGGATGGTCATACTGGGAAGCCCATGGGATGGTGGCATTGGGAAGCCAACCAGATGGTCGTGCTGGGCCATAGAGGTGGCCTCCTTGTCTGCCCAGCAGTTAGCCACCCAGTCCCAACCAGCTGACTGGCTTCATGGTTGATGGGAAGAAACGGGTCCCAGAAGTCTGTGGGGTGGGGAGGAGGACCCGAGCTAGAGATGACCCCACCATGACCACCTCAGCCACTGAGGTTCTCCACCCATGTGGAGATGAA